CAGGGGACACAGGGGGATCCTTGTGAGTGCGGAGGGGCCGTGGGATGCCCAGCGTGTCCCTGCTTCCCCACGGAGCCTCGGATGCGGGCAGCGGACCTGGATGGGCTGCGCAGGCAGCTCTGCCTGCGTGGTGTGGGCAGGAGGGGGGCCGGGGCGAGTGCAGGCAGGTCCTGCCTAACCAGGGCCTGGCTTGCTCGCTGCGGGCAGGTCTGGGGAGGCACTTGCTTCTCGTGGAAGTGGCAGGAGATAAATACCGGTGTCGGTATCCTGATGGCCAGCCGCCCTCCTGCAAACTGGGGGAGCTACCTGCCCCTTGCTCCTAGCTTGGGGAGTGGGGGGGGAATGGTGCCGGCAGGAGCGTGGCAGAGGGCTGGAAGAGCTGCAGGGTTTGCTCCGTCCGTGAGGGTGTCCGTTGTTCCAACCTGGGTTATCAGAACCATTCCGGGTGGATGCGGTGAGGTGCGACCGGCACAGATGCCCCCCCCCCCCATCCCAGGGCAGGCAGCCCTGCTCTTCCTCCCCATAGCTGAGCCACAAGCTGGGGTTGGGGGGGTTGCTGAGCCGGGCTGCAGCACCACGGGGGGAAAACCCGCTCCCTTCCTTCAGTCCCGGCAGCGGATGGAAGTTTTCCCTGCCCTTTGCTTGCCGGGCAAACTCTCGCAGGTGCAGCCCTGCTGCAACCAGGGTGGGGACAGGAAAGGGACGCTTCCTGCCACCATCATCCTCGCTGGGGTGGAGGGGGGGGGAGGAGGGTGTCCTGTGGTTTATTTTTTTGGGGCCTCCATGCCGTGCGGCTGCCAGAGGTGTTGGGATGGCGGTGGGGTGGGAGAGATGCTCCGGAGCACAGCTGGCATTCCTGATCTCCCGGTGGGGTGGGGAGAGCTGCTTCCCAGCCGGGGAGGGACGAGGCTGGCACGGCTGGTGTGACGCTGGAGTCCCCTGTCGTCGTTTCCCCCCCCTCCTCCACCCCTGCGGTGTTTTTCATGTCCCGGAGCTGTGCCCATGCAAAGGTTTGTTTGCTCACTCCTCCCCAGGCCAGGTGAAGGCAAGGTGGAAGCAGCGGCGTTATCGGTCTCCACGAGATTAAGAAACTCCTTTTGGCTGCCCGTGCCGGGTCCGGCCGCTCCCGTGGACTCAGACAGGGAACGTAATTCAGCTTGAGGTCGTGCCGGCAGGACCCGGCAGTGCCAGGGCAATCCGACCCATGGGGGTTTGGTGGTCCCTGAATGACATGGGGAAACTGAGGCACGGTGCTTCTGTGCCAGGGACCCTGTACCTGCAGCCAGGGGGGAGGCAGGAGGCAGCACCCATGTCTGCACCCTTCTGGGTGCCTCAGTTTCCCTCCTGTGTGCATGGGGGAGCAGGGGCTCTGTCCGATGCTTGGGGGTCTTTCTGGTCCCAGCTGGCCAGTGGGGAGGAGGATAGCATGGCTGGCAGCGGGGCCAGCTGAATTCCCAGCTTTTCCTCCCCCTCGCCTAATTTTTCTGCCGATTGCCAGAGCTGGCCTGGCTGCGCTCCCCCCGCCTTGGCCGGGGGCCGGCGAAAGCCGCCGGGGTCCTATGGGGCTGCGGCTCTTTGGCAGGCGGAGGGGGGACGGATGTGCCGTGGTGGGGCCGGCACCCGGCGGGTCACATCCATCCATCCTGTCCGTCCGTTCATCCCTCGCTGCTTCAAGGAGCCATTTCCCCCTCTCCCACCTCCTTTCTGGCGCGGGCATCAGCAGATTTGCCTGCTCAGGGCTCCCCGGGGGGAATCGATCATTGCAGGGTCCCCCCTGCATTGCAAACATAGTGGTGCTGGGGGGGTGTTGGGGTGCTGGGGGGTGGTTTGGGACTGGCCTAGAGCCTTGAGGGGGTGAGCTATGCCAGGGACACCCCTTGGTTGCCTGCTTTTGGGGGTTCGGGGGGGGTTCTTGGGGGGCCCTGCAGCCCAATAGCGGAGCTGAACTCTCAAACCTGGAGCCTTGGAGGCGGGGGGGTCCCTGTGCCCAGGGATGGGATGGGATGGAGCAGGATGGGGTGCTGTGCCGGAGCCCACTCTTCCGCTTCTCACCCCTCGAGCGTGTTGGGAGATGGATGAGGTGCTGCGCTCGCTGCCCAGCTGCTCCCCGCCTGGCGCCCACCCCGGGG